TGCGGTGATGACGTTGCGGTTTTAGCGACGCGGTTTTGTCGCCGCTATTTTGACGAGCGCGGTTTTGTCGGGCCACGAAGTTAGCCATTATGGCCCTAAGCCATTCAGTGCATGGAGGATTTACACACACACACACACACACACACACACACACACACACACACACACACACACACCAATGTGGTCATGGCTAAACAAGTAAAGGATGGAATGAGATCAAAAAAGGATGGAATTTCAGATCAATGAGAATCAAACTAAATAAAGACATGGAGTTACGATAGTTGTTCTCCTTGTACTGAATTACATGATTTCCCTCCATTTATCTCATTAATCAGTACAGTTTGGCAATGATTAAAAGTTCTTTGGGTACCTTTGCTCAAAGCTTTTATGGGCCCTTGGTGATCAAGAGATCGTACATGGTATGTGCTTAAAATAGATATGGACAAAATATTACTAGCTCTAAACCAAAGCCAGTTGTAATATTTAACTCAACTGAGGGAAGTATCCCTAAGAGAGGTTTTAAAAAAAGCCAATAGGGTTTATATTTGACATATAAACACTTACGATATGGTGTGCAAAGGAGCCTAAATGCTATAAACACTGCAAAAAGGCAGCCTTACTTGGAATGGCTTACATCCTGTGACTCCATAAAACATCTGCATCTGTCTATCCCAGGTCTTTGGGAAGGACTCGATAGGCAGACAAAAATGCCAAATCCAGTCTGAACATCTGACTGACTGTGCGACGAACTGTAACAAACAAAATAACTTGGATGGTAAATCTGCGCATTGATTGACAAAATGGCCTTCAGTCCGTCGTAAAAGGCGACACTGCTTGGATCCACCCATATATTATGCTAACACATTATGATAGCCTAGGTTCTTGGGAAGAAGACCTCAATGCAAATGTAGGTCAATACCAGTTAAAGACTTGGCGGCTGTGACTTCATACAATACAATAGCAGAGTTGGAAGGGACCTTCGAGGTCTTCTAGTCCAACCCCCTGTCTAGGCAGGAAACCCTATATACCATTTCAGACAGGTGGCTATCCAACATCTTCTTAAAGACTTGCGGTGTTGGGGCATTCACAACTTCTAGAGCAGTGTTTCTCAACCTTGGCCACTTGAAGATGTCTGGACTTCAACTCCCAGAATTCCCCAGCCAGCGAATGTCCAGACATCTTCAAGTGGCCAAGGTTG